TTTGCAGAACAGTGCCAAGAAATCTCTTACATGGATCCCGGAAGCCAGTGCAGCCGTTGGTCTGACTCGGGTGAGCCAAGAACCGAGTCTCTTCCACTCCCTGGAGGTTCCATGTTATCAGCAGCCCATCCCTGCCCATGGAGATGACATGGTCTTTCTGTACAAGGATCCAGAAAGGGAAGAGTTCAGAGGAATGAAACGAGAAGCATGGTCAGGCATAGTTACAGTCATGATATGTGTAGCAACTGCTCTGTGGGAATGGCCGGGAACATCCAAAAAGTCTTGAAGCTGGCTGCAACACAGAGGAGATTTTCCAAATGTGCTACCCTTCAGAGCTGTGTCTATGGCGATTTCTAGTCATCCAAGTCATGGTTGTCCTAATGGTGCTTTTTCAGGAAGCAACTGGACTTCCATGTTTTTCTTTGAAGACGTTTCGCTTCTCATCCAAGAAGCTTCTTCAGCTCTGACTGAAGGGTGCAGAATGGAAGGATTTATATTCCTTGCAGGCAGCTGGTCATTTGCATTCTTTTAGAGGCCATTTGGAGATTTACCTGTATTCTCAGGGTCATGACTTGGATGATTGAGAATCTCCATGGACAGTAAGGTTCTACATTTAGGCAGGAAAAACCAAATGTACAGGTATAGTATAGAGCAGGGGTAGGCAACCTTGGCTCTTTTATGACTCGTGGACTTCAACTCCCAGAATTCCTGAGCCGGCATGGCTCAGCATGGAAACCTCTCCCTTTCTCCTCAGCATGGCTGGCTCAGGAATTCTGGGTGTTGAAGTCCACGAGTCATAAAAGAGCCAAGGTTGCCTACCCCTGGTATAAGGGGTACCTTGCTCAATAGTAGTAACTGTGAGAGGGATCTCGGAGTCCTAGTGGACAATCACCTAAATATGAGCCAGCAGTGTGCTGCAGCTGCCAAAAAGGCCAACACAGTGCTGGGCTACATTAACAGAGGGATAGAATCAAGATCACGTGAAGTATTAATACCACTTTACAATGCCTTAGTAAGGCCACACTTGGAATACTGCATCCAGGTTTGGTCACCACGATGTAAAAAAGATGTTGAGACTCTAGAAAGAGTACAGAGAAGAGCAACAAAGATGATTAGGGGACTGGAGGCCAAAGCATATAAGGAAAGGCTGCTGGAATTGGGTATGTCTAGTTTAATGAAGAGAAGGATGAGGGGGGACATGATAGCAGTGTTCCAATATCTCAGGGGCTGCCACAAAGAAGAGGGAGTCAAGCTATTTTCCAAGGCGCCTGAAGCCAGGACTGGAAGCAACGGATGGAAACTAATCAAGGAGAGAAGCAACCTAGAACTAGGGAGAAATTTCCTGACAGTTAGAACAATTAACCAGTGGAGCTCCTTACCTCCAGAAGCTGTGAATGCTCCAACACTGGAGGTTTTTAAGAAGAGACTGGACAGCCATTTGTCTGAAATGGTATAGGGTTTCCTGCCTGAGCAGGGGGTTGGACTAGATGACCTCCAAGGTCCCTTCCAACTTTATTATTATTATTATTATTATTATTATTATTATTATTATTATTATTATTATTATTAT